AAGAGTGAAACGATTGTGAAGAAGAAGGGTGTTTAAAGTACTAAATCCAAAGTCGAACCGTCACAGTACGGGTTTCGTCATCTGTTCGCAATCAGTAATTATTAATAATACATGTATTATATCACAAGATGGTAGCAACAACACAGTCTAGCAATTAAACTAATGTTTACCCGCGACCATGAAACAGTTTTCATACGCAATCAAATACAACAGTTGAACAGCTAAGAAAATCGATACATAATGTTTGATAAATATGAAAATTTACATAATATGTTTGTTATTAATTCACAGAAAAAAATATAATGTTTATAGTATTTATAGATAATTTATAACTTGTTTTTTTTTTATATTCATATGTTATGAGTTAGCTCAGTCTCTGGCACTACTGACTTTCATGACGTTAACCAAAGTCAGGTCGGTCGTATGGACGTCTGCCTTCCATACAAAGCCAATAAAAAAAGACATAGGAAAAGTTTTATCGTGGTAAATAAATGGACCCAGACAATGCCGAGTGGATCCGCTATAAGAAATACGATAGTGCGTTCCCTGGTTCACGATTTTACGTAACGACAGGTCTACAGATCGGCTGGTAATTTATAGCTAGGGTCCAGAAGCAATCTTTATCCGGCAATATGTATCTTTGTTGTTTCTGAACTACAAATCTAAATAAATTAAATTATTGTTAATATAAAAAAATATTGGAGATAATTTCGTAAATACTGGCAGTACTATTATCTTTTCTCATAATCTTAATAATAGGGATTAAAGTATGAAATTGCCGTTCTATTGTAATAGGTACTTTGAATTGACATAGAACCTTCATGGTTTGAGATGTTTGAGTGAAACTTTTTTAAACGGTACCTATGACGTTTTTTTTAAAATAATGTGCAACATTCGATAATCGAATCAGTTTTTTTTTATTTAGCTTAGACAAATGAAACACGATCAAATAATACTTGCTATATTAATGGAAATTAAGTTAAATAATGATATAGAATAACTACGCTAAGTGCTCTTACATGAACGGCCCCCAATAATTGATCGAATGAGTAATCAAGATGGACTTTTAAATTTTTTATTGAAGTCAATCTTTATCATTTAACGGTCTCTTTGAAAACTCGTCCGCATCGCAACATGTAATTGTAAATTAATTGATCACGCTATGTCATCAGATTTGAACTTCTTGAAAAATAATGCCCTCATAGTTGTAGGTACATAGTAGTTGTTAAATGTATTTCAATGTCGATCTGACACGCAAAATGACCTTGATTCTGACAGGACAAATTATGTAAACAAAGAAATATGAGAAGACGTCGTGGTCCGAAAGTTAAGGCGTTCGGTTTACTCGTGTCAAGCGATGCGACTATGCCCATGTTCAAATCCCACAGTTTTTAGAAAACACGTACATAGCACGTGCTCGCGAAAGACATCATCCTTGATGCATGAATAACGACGTCTTTTTTTTTATTGCTTTAGTTGGCTTTTGGCTCACGGCCCACCTACTGTTAAGTGGTTAGTGGAGTCCATAGACATCTATAACGTAAATGCCCCCACCCACCTTGAGATATGAATTCTAAGGTCTCAGTATACTCGTAGTTACAACGACTGCCTCCTCCCCCTTCAAACCGAAACGCATTACTGTTTCACGGCAGAAATAGGCAGGGTTTTGGTACCTACCCGCGCGGACTCACAAGAGGTCCTACCACCAGTAATAATGTTATAAAAATCAAACCCGCTAAAGCAATTTTACGCATGACTGGTGGTAGGACGTATTGTAATCTCGCACGGTTGTATTGGTACCACCGTCATGCCTATTTCTGACGCGAAGCAGTCACGTGTTTCAGTTTAAATCGTCAGATAGATGTTGGAAAGTATATTGAAGACATTGACCTTATTTCTCAAAGTGGGCGGCGGCATTCAGTTTGCCGTCTCAGGTCAAAGATCTCTACCTCACATCAGTATTTTAACGTTTCATGTTCAAGGGCATCCTCCATGTAAATATTAATAGTAGATTAAGTAAGTCTTCTTTTTAGATTTTTTTTTAGATTAGTTTTCGTTATCATTATTTTATCCTATATTTGTAAGGAACATTGTGTACTCAACACATTTATCTTGATTAGTCGTGCGCATATGGCTTATGTTAACAGCCAGATTTTTTACTTGTTATTTATTGTGTATCTTTTTTTTAGCTTTTTATGTGTATTGTGTGCCTAATAAATAAAGTAAATAAATAAATTTGATCCAGGTAACCGGCATCGAAGGTACGTACCGCTTCACCTGCGAATCTGTGATGCACGTGCTCCACAAACACAGAGACAGCGTAATGGCTGTACTCGAAGCCTTCGTCTACGACCCGTTACTGAACTGGCGACTTGTAGACAACGACCATCACTCCATCACGGAGTCCTCGTTCTCCTCAGACATAGACTATTCGTACACCCTCCCGAACAGAAGCCGAAATCATTTGCTTTACGAATCACCAGAGATCCCGCCGGAGGCTAATCTAAATAAACGCGCGGTCGCCATTTTGAACAGGATTAGGGACAAATTGACTGGAAGGGACTTTCCTAATGTTGAATCTATAGTGAGCGTGCCCCAACAAGTGGAACTGCTCGTGAAGCAGGCGACAAGCAATGAGAACCTCTGTCAGTGCTATATCGGCTGGTGTCCATTCTGGTAGTGGACCAACTGTAATGGTATATATATATATATATACAGAAATGTTAAGCGAAAATCAACTTCGCTCGACCTGAGAACGTAACAGTATCTTATTATAATATACGATGTTACATCATATATTATAATAATATACGGTAGAAGAACGTAAAAGTATATTAAAACAATAAAATCTTGTCGAAAACAGATAATTAAAAGAAAAATGAGTAGGTATCGTAATGTTTATGTCCTAGTGAGTTTTTCTTATTTACGATCCAATATATTTATAAATATCCGAAATATGAACAGAAACAAAAGTTTAATTTTCTTAACATTTCTGTTTGTTTTAAGTTCCTTCATTAGTTATATTGAGTATTCATATGCTTTGTACATTAAGTATATTATATTAGATTAGTTCGTATTTATAAATGTCGTAATAAAATTTTCGATAAGTATTACTATAACAGTTTTGTTTCGTTATTAAATTAAAAGGACGGTAAGTCGTAAAAAGTATACTTTTAATGTTTATACAAATAACATAGATATTAAGAAGCTTATTTAATTGTTAATAATGTAAATAGCAATTGTTAAAGAGTCGTTACTTTTATAGACGCTTTAAGAATTAATTTCACGCGACTGTCTGACATGAGTTTGTTTCTTCTTACATTAGGTATTAGGTTCAAGTACTGAGAAACGCTACAATAAGGTATTTATTTGACTGTGCTTAAAAATTTAGCCGAAAGATTTGGTTAAAATATCCAACATCTCAGAAGAATGTGCTTAAAATTCAATTTAAAAAAGATCGGATTAGTTTGACCGAAAACCCTATGACATTTATTCACTATCTCGTGACGTCATAAGTGAATGTCATTCTACTTGGAGTTATCAATTCAAAATATTGAATTTTAAAAATTTGGATGCGTTTTGAACTTGGAATAAACCATCTGTATTTCTGTGCAACAGTCAAATGCGTACCTTATTAAACTGAAACCTTTTTGCTAATTATTTATAAACCAAATAGATTTTATATGAGTTTAATTCTCACACTCTCATTTTTTACAATTTTGTTAGCGTAGATAACCGAATTGTCTATGTAAAATTAATTTATGGTTTTGAAGGTTTCCAATCGGCGTATGAATAAACCAAAACTCACACGTTATCACAAAAGAGGTCGTGCGAATATCTCGAGAACAAAATTCGTAACAAATAAATATATGTTTTCATTCAGTCAAAACTGATATCGCTGCGAATACGTGTATTATCTGGAATTAATAGTAGATATTACACATAATATTTAGATGAACAATAATCACTGCCAATAAGATAAATAACAATATATTTTTGTGTTGAATAATAAACAATACGGGTATAATTATGGTAATAATAATTGTTGACTGCCATTTTGCATTTCCATTAACTCATAACGAATTTTTACATTTAATATCTATCTACACATGATGACATCGTAACACATAATCCAGACACATGGTTTCATTGCAAAAATTAACCGAATTCTGATGTGAACGTAATAATTTATAAGAATTTGGGTACATTTCGCAAAATTTTTAATTTTTGTGTAAGCACTAAATAAAAAATAATGTCAATACAGACGTAATGACAGTTGCCAACAATGGAAATATCTCTACTTTTACAAGTAATGTTTATTTATGAAAAGTAGAATACAAAACTAACCATGGCAAGGTCATTGGAAAAGGTACAATTCTTTTACGAGTAAGTCTTTAGAAAAATGACCAAATTTTTATTTCAATTTTCATTGTTATAGTAAACAACAAATCAAGACTGTTAATTTCTTAAATTTGAAACTGGTGTAAAGATTACCACCAGAAGGTTCTTAGTCTATTTATGAAAAGTAGAATACAAAACTAACCATGGCAAGGTCATTGGAAAAGGTACAATTCTTTTACGAGTAAGTCTTTAGAAAAATGACCAAATTTTTATTTCAATTTTCATTGTTATAGTAAACAACAAATCAAGACTGTTAATTTCTTAAATTTGAAACTGGTGTAAAGATTACCACCAGAAGGTTCTTAGTCTCGCTTAGCCGGGGATGTCCCCGGCAAAAGGTGGATCTTCACAACACAGTTTGTGTTTGATTCTCATGGAAACAAGTGTCTGTTTAATAACAACGTTTCATCAGAAATTCAATTCACACACATTGCACCTATTATTAAGTAATCTAAGCGTTGTGTTATCAAAGTGAGAATATTATACAATAAAGTTTATTAAAACCTCTCAATTTCTTTCCATTACTTTTTCTCTTAAATTGAAGCCGTAAAATTACACTTACGTAATAACGTTGTCACTTTCATTGTTTTTTTTTTCAATTCCGTTTTTACGTAATGACACTATCCTTTTTAAAACTCACGAATGAAAGAGGTAAAAGTTGTGATAGTTTAGTACATAGAACGGTATCCATTGTAGGCCTGCTCAAGTAGATTTCGATGTCACCGTCCGAACTACAGAACTCGTTGAGGGTCTGCCGACATACCCCGCAGGGCGCAGTGAATTCTCTTTGATGGGCTACTATAGCCACACATTTAAATTTCGTGTAACCGTCACAGACAGCCTTCGCAACAGCCGACCTCTCTGCGCACATCGATGGTGTCAAAGTGGAGTTCTCAATGTTGCATCCGGCGTACATTCTCGAATCTTCTTCGGTAAGTATAGCGGCACCAACAGAAAAATTGGAATAAGGACAATAGGCCCGTTTCCTAATTTTGACAGCTTCCATCAACAGATTCTGAACAGTCTCATCTGGGAACGTGAATATTGATGTAATACAAATTAATCGAAAAAAAAAAATGCATCAATGTTACAGAAGATTATTAAGATAAGGAGTGAGATTACCAAATAAAAGGTTAATTGTGTTTGGATTTAATAAAAATATCTCGTGATGGGATTCATAAGATAAAGGAACTGTTGCTGTGTGAGGGTTTTTATTTAAAAGATATGAAAACTAAAAATACACTAATTTAGTCAAAGAAAACAAAATTTCGTGATATTTTAACAAGGACTTTAAAATTATTCAATGTATTTGGCGACAAGCAAGAAGCAATTGCGAATAAACACGTTAGTTGTTATTCAAATTAAATGTTACGTTATTGAAACGCAATATTGTCGCAACGTTACGGACTTTTATTGAGTATTTGTGTACTAAACGATTTTTTAAGACGTCCATCCTACATTGTCCACATTAAAATAGCAGTTACGCGAGTCATAAGGAAACGAATAAAAAATGCATTATAAATTTTTAAAATTCCAATTCCATGTGACGAAACATTTAGCTCCTTTATCGAACATAAAAAAAAAAAACTTACCCAGAGAATTAAAGTCCACGATTTGAAAATTATCCATTGTGCGTGCGTTTGTCTCTGGCGTGTTGGTGCGCGCGGTTCCCAGTGCGGTCAGCGACCAACTGATTACAGTTAAACGATCTTTGATTAGATATTGTTTCATGATTGAACTTCCCTTTTGCGTTGTGACTTATGACGACAATATTTGCAAATTGACATGTTTGGTCAAACAATAATATATCGAGATAAAGATAGACTGAATCTGTTTCTGCATTGTCTTGATAGATTAAACATATTTATGATGCATATTCGATTCATGACCAACTTGAATACAACTAAATTGAACGCATAATAAGAATTGCGATACAATGCAAATTGAAAATACAAGAAATGAGGTCACGTTTCATGGCCAAATACATTTCATTTTATGTACACTATGTTATTCTGTATTATACTGTTGGTTCCATTTTACGTTTTTTTAAATTTTATTTGCACCGTCATTGCACTACATGCAATCGTTGGGTACGTGTAACGTGTGATCGTAAGCTCACACCTCACTTGGTATTAAATGGTTACCGGATCTCAGACTTCAAACTGGAATGCTGAACAGCTTTGAAACAAAATAGCTGATGATAGAAATCAGCAAATTCATAAGTTTTTCGAGTTTATATTTACAAGATACTACGTCCTTGGTACAACAATTAGTCTGGCATTCTCATCGATAAACAATTCGGATTCCGTGCAAATCATTCATGCGTACAACAGATTAACCCGACTAAAATCGATCTACACGGGAGCCCATTTCTTCGACGTCGCAAAAGCGGACCCCATGTGAGTGGAGAGGATCTCATGTGAGCCCGCACGGGTAAGTACCACCGCCTCGCCTATTTCTGCCGTGAAGCAGTAATGCGTTTCGGTTTGAAGGGTGGGGCAGCCGTTGTAACTATATTGAGACCTTAGAACTTATATCTCAAGAAGTGTGGCGCATTTACGTTTTAGTTGTCTATGGGCTCCAGTAACCACTTAACACCAGGTGGGCTGTGAGCTCGTTCACACATCTAGGCAATAAATAAAGCCGATTTAGTTTATTTATTAACGATATTCCCCAGTCGCCGCCGACTCAGCTAGCCTTATTCGCTGACGATACAACCGTTTACTACCCGAGTAGAAACAAGTCCCTAATCGCGAGTAAGCTCCAGAGCGCAGAGTTAACCCTCGGGGGTCTACATATAAAAAAAAAATGTATTTTCAACAACATATTACAGCTCAAAGCTTCCTAAGTAAAGGGTTTTTCATTAAGAGTGCTCAAATTTATAAATATAATAAAAAACCTGTTTAAGTTATAATGCCACAATTTTTATTTTATTTTATAGAGTACCTATTCGATGATATTATGTTATTATAAATGGTGCTCAATTTCACGAAGAACACACCTTCAGGGCGGCAATAGACTGTGGTTTGTCTGCATAGACTAATGATTTCACGTAACCCCACAGAAAGTAGTCGAGCGGTGTTAACTTTCACGATCGGTGGTCAGATGATGTCGCCACCACGCCAGATGACGAAGACTTCGAATTTCTCATCCAATAAATTTAATGTTTCCCGTGCTGTATGGCAAGTGACGTCGTCCTGTCGAAACCATATGCTTCTAAGATCCATATCATCTATCCTAGGCCACAAAAAGTTTGTTATCATCGTCCGATATCGTTGCCATTGACAGTGAGCGCGGCTCCTCACGCATCTTCAAAAAAAAAAGGGCCGATGATACCGCTGGACAAGCATGTAACGTTCCGTGGTGAAATCTCACGACCATAACTTAATATTACCATTAACCACCACTTAATATTTAAGTTCCACGACAACACTTCAATAGCCATTCGATCAGTGATTTTCTAGATACCTAATAGAAAGTAACTTTTATCAAAGTGTCCAATGCTGATTTTTCCAAATCACTAAGTCTTTCTTTAAATATTTCATCTTTCATCCTATAGCCTATAGCCTTGTTTGAGAGCCGTACCAAGTCATTGAGATCTCCTTGATATACTTTATGTCGCTGATGAGGAATGAGATGAGGAAGCTAGCTGCCCACTAAAAACACAGCCGTGCTCTTCAAAAGGGGCTACCCTCCCGACACCACTGCAACTAGTATTTCGTCACGAATTAAGCCCTACCGTGCTTTATTCCCGCCATTAGAATATTTGGCCAGCCCATAGCGTGGGTCTCAAAGGCCACGTACCTATGCATCACCTTCCACACAAGGATGACATGCGGTGTCCACGTTAAGTTAATACGCGATAGAGCCGCGTTTCTACGCGGTCGACTCTACCCAATGACCTCCAAGCGAAGTAAATTATCCCTTCCTGATAAGGTAACACTCTTCAAAACATGCATACGTTTCGTCATGATCTATGGAAGTGTAGTGTTCACCCACGAAGCCCCCATGCGCATAAACACTCCAGGTCATTAAACCATACCGTTTCTGCAAGGTAGCCGTGGGAGCACCGTGGTACCTGTGAGGAATGTCGCCCTTCACGACGATCTAAATTTAGAACCAACACGTATCTTATACCTACTCTAAGATAGGTGGCAATCACTCGTTCCGTACAGGTCTTAGGGCTCGTAAGCCACATACGTTAGTTGATGTATAACATTGTTGCAAAGAGCATTAACAGAATATTGTTTTTTTTTTACAATTTTGAGTACATGACTAGTGCTGCTACTTGTCTATGTTTTCAGCAACGGTCTCTCTGCAGCCCGTAGGATAATTAAAACCAAAATAAAACCAAAACAAAATAACGAATTAACCTTTTTTTTATTCAATAAAATATGTAATAGCGACGCTCAGCGATATAAAACAACCGGAAAATGATTGTGAGAAGTTATTCCGCGGTGATGTCACTTATCGCCACGCAATCTTGTTACATTACAAAATCTTATTTTATCATACGAAATGTCATATCGATGATTGGTATCACCTTCGTTCTAGTAACATATACTACAAATAGGTATTATTCATCGATACTTAGAATAGAAAAGCTTTGTTTGGATCCGCTAATGGGTAGTGTTGCAATGGCATCAAATATTGTGAGCTCATAATACGGCCACCAATATGTAACTTATATCCTGACGACGGCGCGGGTTGACTTAAGGATGTGATGCTCCAGATGATGTTTCTTCCTTGTTGAGATGCTTCGTAGCGGGCGTGGCCCGTGGATAAGACGACTGATATACTGACATCAATCGATGGTATAGTCTACCGGTATTCATATCCTACAGGCAGGTATCAAATACATACCCAAGTTTCACGAATGATTTCCATATTTTTTTTTTTTTTTTTTTTTTCCTACCTAAGCTGAGAGCCTTGAGAGGCTATGTCAGCGTAACCCTAACTTTAGTAGGTGAGCTCACGGGGCTCAAACCTGACGATGTTGCTAACACGAACCCTAGCAAGAGCCGTGCTTCGCAGAATCTACCACCGGATCGGAAACGCGACCCACTGAGAAGATCCGGCGAGAAACTCAGTGGGCTGTGTCTGAGAGTTAATTTACTCGTCGAGCCCTTCGTCGCAAGCGACGGGTTCGACGAGAACGGTGACCGGTGCTTGAAGTACCTAAAAGCACCGTTAGTGGATCGGGAGGATCCGAGATGACGTGTTTTGGGCGACGTCGACTGCTTTCCATTCTGTCCGCAGGATCGGGAATGTAGTTACCGGCGGCCACGATGAGAGGGTTCTCGTGTCGTGCCGCTTTATCGAAGTGGCGCATGGACGCCGACTGCAGATACTTACTGATGGACTCTAAGTCCAGGTCGTCATGGAGGTCGACGTTCCTGACGAACCACGGGGCTCCGACGGCTATCCTGCAAAAACGGGATTGAATGATTTGAAATGATTTTAAGTGTATGCGGGCCGCGTGAGCGAACATTACACTTGCATAGGTCATGACGGGGCGTATGCAAGTTTTGTAGAGTGTCACCTTATTTCTAAGGGACATTTTACTTCGCCTACATATCATCGGGTAGAGACGTCCTGGAATGAAGGCGGCACGGTCGCGTACCGTCTTGATGTGAGGGCGGAATGTCATCCTACTGTCGAGGGTGACGCCTAAATATTTGACCTTCGGAGCCCACGGTATGGGCTGGTCGAACATCATGATTTCCACAATGAATTAATAATATCATAAAAATGAGCCCGCAAATAAATAAATAATTAGCGTAATTACTGATGATTACGAATATTCTACAGATCTGGGGCGAATCAGTTATGGATTAACCTACGGCTTTATCACCGTGTAAAACCAGGTGGTAGGACCTCTTGTGAGTCCACACGGGTAGGTACCACCACCCTGCTTAATTCTGCCGTGAAGCAGTAATGCGTTTCGGTTTGAAGGGCGGGGCAGCTGTTGTAACTATACTTGAGACCTTAGAACTTATATCTCAAGGAGGGTGGCGCATTTGCGTCGTAGATGTCTATGGGCTCCAGTAGTCACTTAACACCAGGTGGGCTGTGAGCTCGTCCACCTATCCAAGCAATAAAAAAATAAAAAAGACTTGTGTGTATATAAATGTTATGTTTACATGGACTTGCATAGAAAAGCGGCCAATGTATTAAGATTTTTTGTGTGTATGAAGTAGGAAATAACCAGAAGAACAATATGTAGACAATGCTGTTATAATTGAATTTTCTAATATTTAAATTGTGATTCCACGAAAATTTAGATTCATATCGTAACCGTACACGTATGTTTATAATGACAAAATAATTTGAAATTAAGCATTTTCTGATGTAACGAAAGATGAACGAAAGACAAAAAAAAATAATGTCGTCTTCCTAATGACAATCAATGGTAAAAGTCAAACTGACAGTTCCTGTTTTGTGTATCATAGGATAGATGTCGCTTTATTTAAAATCTCATTAGTAACGTAAAGCACATTATTACATAATGTTATCCTGGGTATTTTAAGATTCATATTTTTTATTTATTTTCGTTACTTATAAGCATAATATACATTGTTATATGTATTATATAATAACCTTGTTTATTAATCAAAACTTTGAACTATGGTGGTTGTTTTACGCTATATTTATTTTGTAAACCACCGAATTCCACAAGCTTGTTGCCTTTCGAGACAGCGCCAGACAGAAAGGCATAACGAAACGCAGCACATAATAATAATATATCTTTTTATGGAATTGG